TCCCCAGTTCTCCGCCTTTGTCCTCTCCTCCTCCGTCTCGTTCTTGGGCTACTCGTCGCTCCCCTCGTGCTCGTCCCTCGTCTCCTGTTCCCTTCACTGACCTTCGTACTGCCTTCCTTCTTTCTAGTCCACCTCGTCCGTCTCAGTCTGTGCTTCCGTCTCCTCCTGAGTCGGCCCTCACTGTGTCGCTCCCTACTCCTGTCACTGACTACTACCGCACGTACCGTCCTGTTCTCTCTCGTGTTCTCGCCTCTCTTGTTACTCACCCTCGTGCCTCTGTGTCCTCTGTGTCCGCTCTTACTGCCGCAGTTACTGACTTTGCCTCTACCCGCCGCCTTGACTACGCCACCACGCTTGTGGCTGCTCCTCCTACCAGTCCTCTGGTCGTCGGGGGTGTGTCTGCCCTTGGCTGTGACGCCCTAGAGGACAGGCAGTTTGAGCTAGAGTTCCTGGTGGCCGCTTCCCCTCATCTCTGTGCCATGCTCCTCGCCCCTGAGGGTGACCCCGACGCCCTTGACATTCCGACTCCTCGCACTTACGCTGAGGCAGTGTCAGGGCCTTGGGCCTCTCAGTGGAGAGCTGCCATGGACGCAGAGATGGCCTCCTACAGATCCACAGGCACCTACGTCGATGAGGTTCCCCCCCCTGGGGCGAACGTAGTCGACGGCATGTGGATCTACAGGGTGAAGCGGCCACCGGGATCTCCCCCGGTCTTCAAGGCGCGCTACGTGGCTAGAGGTTTCAGTCAGCGCGAGGGAGTTGACTTCTTTCAGACCTTCGCACCTACCCCGAAGATGACCACTCTTCGGGTGTTACTACACGTAGCAGCACAGAGAGACTACGAGTTACACTCTCTCGACTTCTCCACTGCTTTCCTTCAGGGCAGCCTACACGAGGAGGTCTGGTTGCGTCGTCCCTCGGCCTTCATTGGCACCTTCCCTCCTGGGACCCAGTGGAGGCTGAGGCGACCTGTTTACGGTCTTCGCCAGGCCCCTCGTGAGTGGCACGACACTCTGCGTTCTACCCTCTCTGACCTTGGGTTCCAGCCGTCTTCTGCCGACCCGTCGCTGTTCGTTCGTCGTGGCTCCACACCGTTCTTTGTTCTGGTCTACGTCGACGACCTCGTTTTCGCCACTTCGGACAGGGTTGCTTTGGCAGACGTGAAGTCCGAACTGCAGAAGAGACACACGTGCACTGATCTTGGTGAGCTGCGCCACTACCTTGGCCTGCAGATCACCAGGGACAGAGCCGCTCGCACCATTACACTCTCACAGTCACACATGGTGCACCAGGTCCTTCAACGGTTCGGGCTTCAGCACTCCACCGTACAGCGCACACCTCTAGCTGTTGACCACAGACTCACTGGTCCCTTTCCTGACGAGTTGTTTGAGCCTAGTGGTCCCTACGCAGAGCTTGTGGGTTGCCTCATGTACCTGATGACTTGTACTCGCCCGGACCTCGCCTTCCCTCTCAGCATCCTTGCGCGCTTTGTTGCGCCAGGGAGACACCGTCCTGTTCACTGGACGGCAGCTGTGAGGGTGGCGAAGTACCTAGCGACTACATCAGGCGTGGGGCTAGTTCTTGGAGGGCAGCAGTCTGTCGTACTCACTGGTCACTGTGACTCCTCTTACGCTGACGACGCTGAAACTCACAGGTCTACTCAGGGGTACTGTTTCAGTCTGGGTTCTGGAGCTGTTTCCTGGCGTTCCACGCGCTCCTCTTCTGTCTCGACCTCTACAGCTGAGGCTGAGATTTACGCTGGTGCCATGGCGGCACAGGAGTTACGGTGGTTGACCTTCTTGCTCGCCGACCTTGGTGAGCGGCCGAGCTCTGCGCCGACCTTGTTTACTGACAACAAGGCGTCGATCCTCCTCTGTCGTGAGCCGCGACTGGAGAGCAGAGTGAAGCACATTCACGTCAGGTACTTTCTTCTGCGAGAGTTGCAGAGGCGTGGACAGGCTCGCTTCGAGTTTGTAGAGTCCGAGGCCAACACTGCAGACATCTTCACCAAGGCGCTTCCGCCTTGTGACCACCAGAGGTGTTGTGTGCAGTTAGGCCTTGTTGACACAGGTTCTAGTCATGCGTAGACTTGAGTTTATTGCCTGCTTCGTCTGTACACTTACTATATATACTTGTGATCTCTTGGACTGGCCTTGTGGCCACTGTTGCTTGTGCTCAGAGTGTGTGGTGACGTTGTGATCCACCCTGAGCTTTGTTTTCTTTTGGACTGGTCTTGTGACCGTACTCTTTTTTGTTTTTACTAGACACCCCTCACTTAGGCTATGGGGGTGTGTCAAATGTTGTAGCCTGTAGTGAGGTTTGTCTTAGGGGGTACAGAAGTTAGGGTTTGTCATATGTACCCCAACCAACATCAATGCAACACCCATTCCTCATTCTGACACCTGGACTTGTGGGTCGCCGCTCTGTTCCACGTGCGGGAGTTCCATCGCCCACGCCCGCGGTAGGCACTCGGTGCGCCACCAGCAGCGCTGGATAGTGACGTGCGGGATATTCATCCACGCGTCATGGAGCCATTCCAGCACGCGACGGAGGTTCGGCTTGAACCTTGCCGCCGCGGAAGTCGCGCAGTCAGCAGTCCACATGCCGGTGAAGGCGCGGAGCCAGTGCTGGCGGTACCGCGCCTTCGTCATGGCGATCATCCCCTGGTCGAGTGGCTGCGTGAAGCAGGTGGTGTTCGGCAGCAGGTAGACGAGGCGCACGTTACTGAGCTTTCGCGTGCGGAACCCGAAGAGGTCCTCGGTTTCTGCGCCCTCGGTTGTCAGGGTGTGACTGCTCGCGTTGTCGAGCAGCACGACGACTTGGCGGCCCTCTGCGTACATGGCGGTGTCCAGCTGCTCAAAAAAGTGCGTGAAGAGCTGCAACACAAAGGGGTGTAGGCGAAGTTGGGGTAGGTTTGGAGGCTTTGTCATTATAAAAAACATAGCCGACATCGGGTACATGTAATAACGAGGCTTTTAAAAAGCACAGGCTGTAACATGTTTGTTTTTCAAAATTTTGTTATGGGGATTTATCATGATCACAAACATAGGCAACATCGGGTACGATAATAACGAGGCTTTTAGAAATTGTAAAAACAAACTCACGGCTTTGGTCATCCACCCCTTAGCGGTGTTGCGCAAGTAGCAATACTCCTCGGGGTCGAAGTCCGGCCTGAAATCATGTGGCCGCTTAGCCTTGGAGATGACAAGCGGACGGAATGCGTGCGTCCCGTCCGCATTAACCAAGAAGCCGACGGTAAGGCGGTCCTTCGGAACCTTCCGCCCTGCCGACCTGCCCGTGCCGTACGTTTTGCGAGGAAGCACGCTGATGTACAGCGCAGTCTCGTCGAAATTGAAAGTATCACGCGGGCGCACGCCGAGATGCATGAGAAGTTGAGGAAGCTTCTCCTTAGTGGTGCGCACTGCGTTCAGATCCTGGTCGGCCGCCTCGCCGACCGCGCTCATGCACCGTACTCCCTGGCGGCGCAGCGCACGGCGGACCCAGCCGATGGAGCAACGGAAAGTCGGCGGAGCGCCGTTCGCACGCGCCATCGTCGCAACATGGTCGCGAATAGTGGCGAGGGTGAGAGGGACGCCAGCGGGGCCTGCATTTGAAATCCAGCGTGCCATCGAGCGCTCCAGTTCGGGGTATGCCCCGCCGCGGACGCGAATGGCGTCCACGGCGTCATCAGGAACGTGCCATCGGTCGGCGCCTTTGAGAACGCGACCAATGGTCGAACGGTCGGGCCTCACACCAAAACGCGTGAAACACCAACGTGCGAGGTCCACGTGGCGCAGCAGAGGGTTTGCCTGTTGATGGGCACAAATGGCCCGCTTGATATGCAGCGCGAGCTGAGACCTATGGTAGAGACGAGGCATCTGGCGAGATTGTTAAGATAACTAAACATGAATTGCAGTGCTGGTTGTCGAGTGGATTTATGCTGGTGCAATGGCGCTAGGATTAGTCACTATGTCTCGAGAGTGTGCGAGGTTTCGCACTTGCTGCGAGATGCACATGCATCTCTCGCAGTTTCTAGAGATTATGAGACTGGGTAACCACATCCACGAATAGTGACGTGTGTTGTTTGCGGACTGTGAGGCTCACAAGGGGCATGTACCGAGCATTGGCAATGTACACGTCGGAGTTAACACACAAACACGAACTGTTAGGCGCACCTGGTTGATGCACAGGTGGCATGACGTAACATCAGTTTTGGGTGGCGACGTTTCACGAATTTGGTCCTTACCGTACATTTCGTAGCCTCTGTTTCTGACTTAAAAACAGGGCGGGGCCAACCGGCTGACGTTTGTCTTTTGCTGTGTTGCTCAGTTTGGGAGTATTCACCTGGTAGATGCAAGTGGTCTCAGGTGCTTATACGGTACCATAGGTGCAACACCAGGGCAAAAAACCCACGGGTGTAAGGTTTCCGAAATGTGCAGGGCTTTTTCGCGTGCAGGGGGTGGGCATCATGTGTACTACATTCGCCCCGTCACACCACATTCGCCCCGTCACACCACATTCGCCCCTTCACACCACATTCGCCCCTTTTCACCACATTCGCCCTATCACAAGAGGGGTTCGCACTGCGTATAAAGATTCCAGCGAGTCAACCTGTCACAGCAGTGATCCATGCACTGTCACAGGAGAGATTCCCTTCCCACCACTGGAAATCGCGATATGCTATGTTTCGATTTCAGACGAAACAGAAAACACGTGTCTGATAGAACAGATGGAAACTAAAAACCATTTCTGACCCATCAGACAGCATAATGCACCCATTTCTTGAAAATCAGATGAGTGAAAACAAATCTGTCTGATTTCTCAGAAAAACAGACAAAAATGTCTGATAGCGAGGGCCCTGAACACCACAGTGGTAGCATGGATGGTTGGCTGTGGTCAGGCGCACGGAGGGAGACAGACGATGGAGAAAAAAAGAGCAGCTATGACTGCAATCTGCAGCAGCAGCAGCAGCAGTGAGAGGGCATTTGGTCATGCCGCAATCACGATAGCGGCCACACTGTCGCCAGGCTGCTCCACCGCGGTCCAAGCCCCTCCCCCTCCTCCAACCCCTCTGCTGCAGGTGCTACTGCCACGGGTGATACTGCTTCTAGGGGTGACAGTGCTGTTAGGGTTGATGCTGCAGCTGCTGTTGCTGATGCCGATGCATGACCTCCTGTGTTCCCTCTCCCTGACCCACTGCTCATTCTGCGGCTCACTGCAAGCACACCAGTCTCCCCCTCACCACTCGCAACAGGCCCCTCACCACTGCCTCCAACAGCACTGCCGGTAGCAGTAGCAGCAGCTGCAGCAGCAACAGCAGCAGGTGCATAATCAGCAGCATTAGCACCGTCTGCGGACCCAATCGACCCACCATTGGCAAAGAGCCGGGTTGGCAGCACACACGAGAACGCAGAAGCGTGGAGGGGTGAAGGGGACACGGAGGGTGAAGAGGGCGAGGAGGACGGCACAGTGCGCAAGAGCCCAGGAGAAGCACCACCACGCGAAACAGCGCCACGAGAGAGTGCGACCCCACCAGCTGAAGCACCACGAGCGACCCCACCGGCAGAAGCAGCAGACGCCATGAGGGTGCTGAGCAGCGCGTCTCTCTCCCTCTCCACGGCAGCCAGCTCCACCCCCATCACCACGTTGCGCATCTCCACTGCTGCCATCCGCCCCACCCACGCCCTCTCCGCCTCCTCCCTCTCCCGCCCCATCTGCTCCACTCGACCCAACAGCACTGCCACCTCCTCCCTCCACCGCCTCTTCCACCCTCCCACTCCACCCCCCTCCCCTCCTCCCTTTCTCTCTGCACCCTCCACCACCTGACCCTCGCCTTTCCCTGGTGAACCTGCAACCACCCCACTGGCTTCTCCCCCCACTGCCACCACCCCAGATACAGCCTTCCCCACATCCTGCCGTTTCTTCCCTGCCGCCCGCCTCTGCCTCATCAGTTCCACCTTCTCCAGAAGCACCCTCGCCTGTGCCTCCACTGCCTCTCGCCTGCCCTTCTCCCCTTTAGCCACCCTCCTTGCCTCCTCCACATCCCTCCTCATCGCCCCCACCATCTCCCCCATCTCAGCCACCCTTGCCTGTAACTCGCTAACCTCCCGCTTCCGCTCCACCGCCTCCTCCCTCCACGCCTGAACCCGCTTCTCACCCTCCCCCTGCAACCGCCCCCGCTCCTCCTCCCAAGCACGCTTGCACCCTTCCACCTCCTCTGTCCACTGTGCTCTCTCCTCCTCATGAACTCTCTTCAAATCAACCACCTCCTCCCTCCTCGCTCTCACCTCCTCCTTCCACTGCCATGCCATTCTCTCCAACCCCTCCTTGCACCCACCCTCTAGCTCCCCCTCTCCTACAGCCACCCCCACACTCACCATCACCCATCGCACCATCCCTCTCAACCCCTCCAACTCCCCCTCCACCGCTACCCGCCTCTCCTCCGACTCCCGCACCCGCCTCTCCATCCTCTCAACCCGTTCAACCGCCTCTGCAACCCGAATCTCTGCCTCCTTCACCATTTCTTCTGCCTCGGCCACTCTCCTCCTCCCACCCTCCCCTTCCACCAGTGCAGCCCGCACTCTCTCTGATTCCTCCTGCACACGTTCTTTCAGCCCAGCCACTTGCCTCTCCACCTCCTCCCGCCTCCCAACTTCAGCCTGCCACCGAGCCACTGCCTCTCTCTCCCCCTCCCTCTGCCGCTCCTCCCATCTCACTCTCTCCAATTCCACCTCTCGCTCTCTCCTCCTCAGTCTATCAACCACTGCCCGCTCTTCTTCCACCTTCACACTCAACTCCTCCTCTTTCGTCCTCCACATGTCCTCAAGTGCTCTCCACTCATCCACCTTCCCCTTCCACTTCCTCTCTTCCCCCTGCCACCCTTCCTCTTTCTTTCTCCATTCCTCCTCCCGCACACGTGCTTCCTCCCTCACACCTTCCAACTCCCTCACCTGCACTTCCAGCTCCTTCCTACATCTCTCCACCACGACCAGCTCCCTTTTAACCACTTCCAACTCCCCCTCCGCATGTCTCACCCTTTCCTCGCTCTCTCTCACTCGCCCCTCAAAATCCCCCACCATTGCATCCAACACCTTCATCCGCCCCTCCCTCTCTCTCACTCTCTCCCCATTCTCCCTTACCTCCTCTTCCAGCTCCCCCATTCTCGCCACAGCAGCAGCAAGCCTCTCTTCTAACGCTTGCACCTCTCTCCCTTTCTCTTCACTGACACTCTCTGCCTCCCTCACTCTCTCCTCTCTATTTCTCACTCTCTCCTCGCTCTCTGTCACTCTCTCCTCACCCTCTCTTGCTCTCTCCTCGCTCTCTCTCACTCTCTCCTCGCTTTCTCTCACTCTCGCCTCACTCTTCCTTACCTCCTCTTCCAGTTCCCCCACTCTCGCCACAGCAGCAGCAAGGCTCTCTTGTAACCCCTCTACCTCCTTTCCCCTTTCCCCACTAACTCTCTCTGCCTCCTTTACTTTCTCCCGACTCTCACTAATCTCCTCTTCCAGTTCCCCCACTCTCGCCACAGCAGTACTAAGTTTCTCCTCTATCAATTGCACCTCCCTCCCCTTCTCGCCACTGACCCTCTCCGCATCCCTCACTCTCCCCTCGCTCTCCATCACTCTCTCCCTGCTCTCCCTAACCTCCTCCTCCAGTTCCCCCACCCTCGCCACAGCAGCAACAAGCCTCTCCTCTAACGCTTGCACCTCCCTCCCCATCTCCCCACTGACCCTGTTTGCCTCCCTCACTCTCTCCTCTCTCTCTCTGACTCTTTCCCCACTCTCCCTTACCTCCTCTTCCAGTTCCCCCACTCTCGCCACAGCAGCAGCAAGCCTTTCTTCTAACCCCTGAACCTCCTTTCTCCTCTCCCCACTGACCCTCTCGGCCTCCCTCACTCTCTCCTCGCTCTCTCGCACAACACCCTCCATCTCCCCCACCATCGCCTCAACTCCTCTCAGCCTCCCCCTCAAGGCCTCCACCTTCTCCTCCTTCGCCTCTGCTTCTCTCACCCGCGCTTTCAGCCCATCCACTTCCCTCGCCCTCTCGTCCGCTTCTCTCAACCTCTCACCCAAATCCGCTCTCTCCCGGACCACCTCCTCCCTCCTCCGCTCCTCCTCTCGCACCAAACCTCTCAACTCCTCCGCGTCTCTCTCCGCATCCCTAATCCGTCTCTCCAGCTCACCCACTCTGGTCGCTGCCTCTCGCACCTCCTCCTCCCTCTCCTTTTCCCTCACCACCAACTCCTCCTGTAGCCTCTGCACCTCCTCCCTAACCTCCCTCTCCTTCTCCCTCCCCTCCTTCACCACCCTCCTAACCTCCCCTTCCGCTCTCTCCATACTCCCCTTCATCCTCTCCACTTCCTCACACAAACAACCCACCTTCCTCTCAGCTTCCGCCCGCTTCTCCCTCTCCCCTTCCATCTCCCTCCTCACCTCCCTCTCCCTGCCCTCAGCCTCCTCTCTCCTCCTTGCCTCCCCCTCCGCCTTCCTCTTCCACATCTCGCCCTGCCGCAGCAAATCCTCCCGCCACATCTGTTCCAGCTGCACCTGCCCTTCCACTGCCAGTACCTGCGCCTGTGCCTCTTGCAGCCGTGCTTTCAGCTCTGTCACCTGCCCCTCCCATGCCATGCGCAATGCCACTACGTTTGATGCATCCACACATTCCTCCCTCGCACTCGTCACTACCCTCCTCTGATTTTTTCCGTTTCTCTCCACTTTCTCGACCCTCACTAGGTTCTGAGCGTCTTCCCTTCCCTTCTTCCCATCCTCTTCCCCTTCCTCCTCGTTCTTCTCCCTCTCCTCTAACTGCGCCACCTCCTGACCCAATGGGTCGAACAGCAGAGGCACCTGCACAGGCAGCTGCAGGGAGAACCAACCAACGCGATATAAAAAAGGGAGGAAGGGTGGTAGACACGCTTAAGAATGCAGCAGGAGGCAAGAGTTGCTGAAAGCTTGGAGGAGTCATGAAACAGCCAACACGTGAAGCAGGGAATGTTTGCGGAAGTGCAGGAGATTGATAATCAGGGTAGTGAGCAGAGCAGCACGCATGAGCGCAAGCAGCAGCATCTGCACACTCTGGTACGCCACCACTCACCACATTGGCTGGCGGGAAGAGAGCAGCGGGCTGAGGAGGCGCCGCTGGGAGGAGCTTGGCGGACTTAGCAAGGCGAATGAGAGCGATGAGGGGGAGGAAGAAGAGGCGGATGCACACACGAAGGAGGGATGCGAGCAGGTGAGTGAGGGAGGGCGTGAGGACACCTGCAGTCAGCACAAGAATGGAGAAGAGCAATGCCAAGGATGAGCCAAGAATGGGAAAAAAAAAGCAGAAGGCAGAAGCAGATGCGAGGCCAGCAAGCAGGACCCTTCAGAGCAGGTTGTATCCGAGGTGAGAGGGCCAGGGTGAATGGAGTGGAGTTGAGTGGAGTGGAGTGGAGTGGAGTGGAGTGGAGTGGAGTGGAGTGGAGATGAGAAAGCATAAAGCATGGAAAAATGGTAAGTGAGGAAACAGCTCATGCACCACATAGCTGGTGTGGTACAAGGCAGGCAGAGAGGTGCAGTGCGCAGCGGACTGGCCTGGGCTGCGAGAAGATTGGCTTGGCGATGCTCCCTTGAGGGCGTGGTGTGCCAGCAGAGGCACATGGGGCAGCAGAGACGCCAGAGACGCCCAGAGAGACACCTGCCTGCCCTCTGACCCGCGCTGCTGCTGCTGGTGCTGCAAATGGTGGCTGCGGTGGTGGTGTTGCTGCTGCTGGGTATGGTAGAGAGGTTGATGGTTGTGTTGGTTGTGGTGGGGGAGTGAAGCGGCAGGGCCAGGCAGTGGCATGGGAGCAGTGGCGAGGAGGATGACGGGCCACGAGGAGGAGTGCGGTGCTTGACTTGAAGAGCCCGCGCTGCTGGTCCGCTCTGACAGACAGAGAACGATGGGTGTGAGAGGTGTTTAGGTAGGGAGTGAGAGGGGGAAGGGGGAGGGTGGGGGAGGAAGGCGGATACGTGGGGGATAGAGATGCAAATCAATAGGGAGGGCAGGCAAGGCAACGCAACGCGAGCATGAAGCGATGGATCAAGACACGCGTACAGCTTCAACATGAATGCGGGCAGCTCAAAGCACGGTACAGTGCAAGATAGAGAGGTGCGCATTCAGAAACGGAAAGAATCAACATGGGGACAAGGGCAAGGGGGATATGGAGGTGGTATTACCTCTGGAGGCAATGGAGAGGGCGAGGAGAAAATCGGAGTGGGATTCTGAGAGCAGGTGGGCGTGGGGCAGGAAGAGAATCACCGGACGCTGCTCCGCCAGCTGCAACACGAAAGGGATGAGGGCAGGCACAGGGGAGGATATGCATGAGGAGGGGGGAAGGGACTGGGGCTAGAGAGGAAAGGAGCGAGGGAGAGAGGGAGAGAAGAAGGGTGGCTATGCAGAGCAGAGCCATCAATCAACGCCTGTTTTAGCCACTATATACAAAAGAACAGTGTGCATTTTCCAGCACAGCGAGTTGGGTGCAGACAAACCTGGCGGCACATGGTGAGCAGCATGCGAGCGAGCAGCAGGTTCCTGCCCGCCCTGGCTCGGTCCATGGCTCGCAGAACAGCATGCACCCACGGCACACACAGCAGCTCCGGCACCGCCCATGCCACCACCTCCCGAGCACTGCTGCTCCTGCTCCCCCTGCCCCTGCCCCTCCTGCTGCCACTTCCACCCGTGGTGCTGCTACTGCTGTTGCCACTGCCACTCCTGCCGCTGTCACTGCTACTGCCGCTGCTACTGCCACTCCTGCTCCTGCCCCTGGCGCTGTCCCTGCGCCAGGCTCCCTCCACTGCTGTGCCGAGCCCTTGTGCCTCGGCGGGAGAGGAGAGACGGAGCGGGGGAGGTGAGGCGGAGAACGGGACGGAGGCGGGGGACGAGGGGCAGGCGGAGAAGAATGGCGAGGAGAAGGCGGAGGAGGGGAGGGAGTCGAACGAGGTGGTGGGGCTGGTACCCGCTGTGCCCATGTCTTCGCTGCCTGCAACACCTGCTGCTGTTCCACCTGTCGTTGCTGCTGTTGATGTCATTGCTGCTGGTGGCGAAGCATTTCCCATAATCCCAGTGCCGGGCGTGGTACTGCTGGTGGTTGAGGCGTCAGTAGATGCGTGGAGCAGCAGATGGGAGAGCGAGTAGAGCAAGGGGGCGTCCACCTCTATCACAGCAGCGCCCACCTCACCAGCCACTGCTGCTGCCACCACCCGCTGCCACTCGCCACTCTCCGCCTCGTCACCCGCACCCACGAGGAAGAATCGCGCGTCTGACAGACCATTCTGCTCTTCGCGCTCCTCTTGTTTGCCCTCGCCCCAGTACCCATCCTCCACCTGCCGCTGCCGCTGCTGCTGCTGTCGGCGCTGGGCTGCTGCGATCTGCTCCTTGATGCGCGCCACGACTGCCCGGACGGACTCCGCCTCGCATAAATAGCTGCGCGCGACACGAGAGGAACGGAGACAGAGATCATGTGCTAGATGCTTACCATGATAACACTATCCCGTTGTACTTGCATTGATTTAATATATGGACCATCAGAGAGAGAGTAGGGTACGAGCAGGGATAGAGGAAGCAAGAGAGCAGGAGAGCAAGAGGGAAAGCAAATCGAGGGCAGGATAATCAAGACACCACACCTGACCATTTTGTTTCTAACCCTTACCATTCTCCCTATCCTATATCCCATCCACTGCTACACACCATTCCTAGTTCACCATCTCTATCCATACCACACCATCCATTCACAATTTGATCAAACGGTCTCACCTGCCTGCATGTGCGCTGCTCGCATTCTCCACCGATTCGACGCGACCGCCGAGCTGAAGCCGCTGCTGTCCAATGGCGAGCTGCCACGCGTCGTGCAGCAACCATCGCACGCAGAGCGACTCGAGAAACGGCACCGCGGGGACGAGCGCGTCGGGCGTCATCCGGCACAGCTGACGTAAGCACGACGCCACGGCGTCGCGAAGCCATCGCTCGACGGCGTCGCGATTGGATCCGGGCGGAAGGGGGAGGGGCAGCGGAAAGGGCGCATGAGGGGAAAGCAGCAGCTGTGGCGGGCCGCTGTACCCTCTCCCCGCATCCGCCCCAACAACCGCGGACACCCTTTTCCGATTCTTGAGATTCGCCACTTCAGGGTCGTTCCCAGGCGTATCTCGGCGCCTGAACGTCCCGCTGTTCACGTCGCCGTGTATGCCGTTCAGTCCCTCCATTTAGCGCGCCCTTCGGTCGGCCTTGAACGGCGAGTACAGGTAGTCGTAACGCTCAGGCTGTGCTGTGGTTCAGAGAAACGCATGATCGAGCATCCATGCGCCTAATTCATGCGCCGTTTGAATGCTCTTTGAAAACCAAATTGAAATTGTGGTCGCCTAACTGGTGAAAGCCACTGAATGAGGAAAATAGATTCAAGAGGATGAGAAAGAACACGGCAAGTCACATGTCGTACAGACTCGGGTACGATGGATACGAAGAGGCGGGAAAGCGTTTGTCTTCACAGCTCTCAGACCATTACCCTAACACATTTACCATTTCTGTGCGAAAATATACTTGGCCCCACACATTCTCCTTGCAAAGAACCTACCAGGTCCCAACGTTTTGGAGCTTTGATGTGGAACTACCTGTCAGGGAGGAAAACCCACTGACTGACGGGGATGGATGGAGGATTTGTGCGTACTGTACGGTTTGAATGGTTGCATCGAGGTTGAAAAGGGTGGCCAGCGAAAGCCAAAATCAAGCGTTTGTCACCGTACTGAACCACGTAATTCGTACAGTTCCGCACCCTGGGGCTACGACGTTTTTTTTTATATGCTGCTGATTGGTTGAAAGGCAGCTGGAACCCCAAGAAGTTCTCGCCCACAGAATCTGGTAGCGTCGCTTTCAGTCGCACAAAGCTCCACATGCGATTAGTGTGATCTCCTCAGGAGAATTGCCAAGGCTCAGGTTTGTTGAGACAGCTAGATTACTCCGAGTAACGGTTTATAATTGTTGTGAGCAGAGGCTACAAACGCGGTAGAATGACCGAACCTTCCACCGGTGGCGATTCCTCCACCTGTCAGTGTCCTTCCCGCGCGCATGTCCATGAACTATTGAGCACATCGCGACAATCGGAACTTCACCGCATCCAACCGTCCACTCCCCCCTTGTCGGATCACGATTTACGATTCTACAGGTTTTCCCATTCCCCCAATGTCCCTTGGGCTTTCACTTCCTCCCCATCTCGGCTCGCTCCACCTTGCTGTACCCTCTGGCCTGACGGTTGAACCTCGATTTTGACTGCAAAAGCTCTGCTGCAGCACGTATCCTTCCGAGTTGAGTGGGTAGTCGATTATAAGAGCTAGTGGCCATTCCAGTTTTCGTGACGCGCGATCGCTCGAGTTCATTCCGCAGGCGCTTCTTTGGCTTTCCGAGATCGTTTGGTCGATTGAGGCGCTTCATGCTTTTTGTCATGCATGCGTGCGTCCCATGAAGTCTTCTTGTTGCCGACTCGACCAGATCTGACTCGCTAGGTCTGATTCAAGAGCAGCGATCAGCGCTGTTCGGTGTAGAGATTGACAAGGATTTTGAGACACGCCTGCGTGCGTCGTCTTCCAGATCGTCTACAGTGCACAGCGCGTTAATCTTAAATACGTCGGTCTTTTGCACGAATTATTCCGCAAAACGATTGGACGCTGGCGTGTCACCGACCACCCTACTCGAAACACTCGAAACACCCAAACACTCGAAATTTTCGCGATCCATAACAGAACCGCGTTAAAACCGTCACAGCACGCGCAGCAGCCCTAGCAGCAGCAACGACCACATCAGCCCGTCATGGCAGCGCCGGATTTTGCGGATCTCGAGGCGGTGGACGGCGTGCGGCTGACGTGGAACGTGTGGCCCAACAGCAAGGTGGAGGCGACCAAGTGTGTGGTGCCGTTCGCCGCGCTCTACACGCCAGTTAAGCGCCTGCCCGAGATGCCCGTGCTGCCGTACGAGCCCATCCGCTGCAAGACGTGCCTCGCCGTGCTCAACCCGTTCGCGCGAGTGGATTTCATTGGCAAGATGTGGGTCTGCCCTTTCTGCTACCAGGTCAGTAGCGGTGAATTAGTGATAGCATCAGGGGGAACGTTCTACTGTAATCCTCCTCTTGATTTCTCCTCGAGTTGATTGAAATGTTTGAATAATGTGGCGTCAAGCCGGGTCCGTGCGACTGCATGCGAGATAAAGGTCGCATCGTGGCACAGACCGACCCAAGTCGATTAGCTTTTACTGACTCCAACATCCCTTTTCTCGGTCCTCCATCCACTCGCCCTCCTCGCTGCCCCACATTGCCGTCTCAAACCCCATCGCTTCTCTTCTCCCCCCTTCCCTCCCCTCACCCACTCCCCCTCTCCCTACCCGCAACCCACCCCCAACCTCCGCCCGCCCAGCGCAACCAATTTCCGCCGCACTACGCGGCGATATCGGAGTCGAACCTGCCCGCGGAGCTGTTCCCGCAGTACACCACCATCGAGTACTCGCTGCCGCTCTCCGCGCCCGCGTCGCCGCCCGTCTTCCTATTCGTGCTCGACACGTGTCTCATCGAGGAGGAGCTGGGGTACCTCAAAACCGCCGTCTCGCAGGTGACCGGCGCCAGAAGGGGTTGGTGGGGTGGGCGGGGACGGGTTGAGGAGTCGGTGGGAGGAGCAAGGGCGAACGCGGGAATGGGGAGAGAGGGGGGAGGGGAAAGTAAATAGAAAGGGGGGGTTTGAGGAGATGATGGGAGAGTGGGTAAGCAGGAGGGAAGCTGGTTTTGGTTCCCCCCTCTCTTCTCCCATTTCCCCCCTGTTGTTCGCCTGCCTGTCCCTCCCGTATCTCTCTTACTCAACCCTTATGACCACCTTTTTCCACCCGCCACCCTCCGCAACCCACCCCGCCCCTCTCTTCCCGCCCACCCTCTTCCCGCGCCCGGCCGTGCCCCTGCCCGCAGGCCATAGGGCTTCTCCCGGAGAACGCGCTTGTATGTTTGATAACGTACGGGTCACTGGTGTACGTGCACGAGCTGGGGTTCAGCGACTGCCCCAAGATGTTCGTGTTCAGGGGCGGCAAGGAGGCCTCGCAGCAGCAGGTCGTGGACCAGCTGGGGCTCGCAGGGCCGCCCATGGGCGCTGCAGGGCCCGGGGGGAAGGGCGGAGTGGCGGGAGGGCCGGGGCATGGGGCGGTGTCGCCGGGGAGCATGGCTCGGTTCTTGCTGCCGGCTCAGGAGTGTGAATTCACTCTCTCCACCGTGAGTTGGTTCTGTCAGCACCTAACCTACTGCTCATCGGTTATTGACTGACTTATGTTGACTCAAAATTTCACCTTCCAAGCCCACCCACTTCCACTCAGTCTCACCCTCCCTTGCATCCCCTCAGTAAAGTCCCTTTTTCTCACTTCAGCTTACCGCCAAAAGCACCCTGCTTTCTCCTCTTCCGCGACTGTGCTGACGCATTGCTCCCCCTCATTTGCTCCCTCCCACCCAATGCCATGCCAAGTTAGTGCCTGTGCTGAAATATTATCTGAGCCGCTTAACTAGTTCGGCTGCCAAGCATTCCCCATCCCGCAAACAGGTCCCCGCATCCGCCCCCTTGCCCCATATCTCACAGTCAACTCCGCCCCTCTTTCCCCAACTGCGTCCCACTTCCCTGCCCCCATCTGCGCCCCCAAAATTCTGCTGCGCCCTCCTCTTTCTCCCTCCCAGGTGTTGGACGAGTTGAGCAGGGATGCGTTCCCAGTGGCGGCGGACAAGCGCCCAGCGCGCTGCACGGGCACGGCGCTCACAGTGGCCGTGGGGCTGCTGGGGGCGTGTGTGCCGGGCACGGGCGCGCGCATACTCAGCTTCGTCGGCGGGCCGTGCACTGAAGGACCCGGCGTGGTCAGTGCTGCTACTCCTTGCCCTACTCTGCTCTGCTCTGCTTTACTCTGCTGCTCGACCCTGCTCTCCTCTGTTGCCCTTTGCGTTGTTCCTTGTCACTTGTTTCCAACAATTAGGCATTTTTCCTTCTCCCGTGCCCACCTCACCTTCCGCTCCACCCCCACCTCTCCCCTCTCCCCCCCCCACACGGTAGTGAGCCAGGTTCTGTTGAGAATTCTCAAAAGTACCTTCCACCCCTTCCCCCTCGTTTCCCCCGTCCCTTGCCCCTCCCTTATCCCGCCTTCCCCTTGCCTTCCCCCATCCCTTCCACCCCCTTTCCCCCCCTCTTTTTCCCCATCCCCCTTCCACCTCCAACCGCAAGTCCAGATAGTGAGTCGGGAGCTATCAGAGCCCATCCGGTCGCACAAGGACCTGGACAAGGATGCAGCGCCGCACTACAGCAAGGCCGTCAAGTTCTACGAGGGGCTCGCCAAGCAGCTCGTGGCGCAGGGCCACGTGCTCGACCTCTTCGCCTCCGCGCTCGACCAGGTGGGTGCTGATGAATGGATGGTTGGCGTGTGCTGTTTTTGATGTGCCTCTAATATGAGGCAATCATTTCACTGCAAGCAGCTTGTGGCACAGGGCTACGTGTTCGACCAGGTGCGTGTGTGGTGGCTGACAGATGGCGTGTGCTGTCACGGTGAGCCGCCCCTGCTTCTCCTCGTGCTATGCCCCTTCCTTTTGTTTTTGCATCAAGAAAGGCAAGTTTGCTGTGCTCTCTCACCACTGTCACTTTAACCTCACCCGCCCGCACACCTCCCACCTGCACACGCCCTTCTCTTTCTCTCCCTCTCTCGGCCTCCACCTCCCTCGCCCCTTTCTGCCAATCCCCATCCCAGGTGGGCATAGCGGAGATGAAGGTGGCGGTGGAGAGGACGGGCGGGCTGGTGGCGTTATCGGAGAGCTATGGGCACGCGGTGTTCAAGGACTCGCTCAAGAGGGTCTTCCAGCAAGGGGACTCCAGCCTCGGCCTCTCCTTCAAGTCTGTTCACGCACACACCCTCCCCCTCTCCTCTCCTCCGCTCCTTACCCGCTCTTCCGCTCTCCCCCTCTCTCTATCCTCCCCTCTCCCCTCTCCTTCCCTCCTCCTCCTCTCCTCCTTTCTCTTCGCTCCTCTCCTCCTCCTTTCCCATCCCTTCTCGCGTTTTTGGGCCTTCTTGTCCTTCCTTCCTCCCCTGTCCTGCCAAGCTGCTCTCCCCTGTCCGTACCTGTTTGTTCTTGCTTGCCCGTTCCATCAAGTTCCTGCCTCTGCCTGCCATGCCTGCCATGCCCCGTCCGTTGATAATACCATTCATACCATTC